ATCAATAAATACTTTAGTATGGCCGCCCTCTCTTTCTCTGACAGGGGTTTGATCCCTTCACAAATGTGACATTTGTCACTCACATGGCGCCTCCCCTAGACATTTAAGGCTGCTGGGTGTGGGTCACTCACTGGCATGGACTTGTTATATGAGTGACAGGACATGAAGCCTGGGGAACAAGGCATAAGTCCAGTACCGGTACCAAAACAGGAACTGGCAAATCCAAGCTACTAAGTACTAACCTAAACATATTCTTCTATCTAAAACAATGTAAAAAAGGCTAAACTAGCCTAAAACTACAGAACAAGTACCATTTACACTAAAGAGGACAGAACTTGTAAATGCAAGGACAGCAGCTTCAACAACAGTGAATGGCAGTAGGAAGGAACTGAGGGGAGTCGGGGACAGCTCTGCCCTTTATACCTGCATACAGTGGTGCGAGAAAGCAGAGGGCACTCCTGCTGCTCCAATGGGCACTGCTGAGGGAACAATCTCCAACAACTGTGCACGAGATGCACACACACACCTTCAGTGGAATGAACATGTACAATCACTTGAAGTAATCTAATTTTTTTACCATGTAATTAATGGCAGTTATCATAACAATCCACCACTATAGTTGTCAATAACCAGGTATGTGGTTAACAATCTTAGGAAATTACTCCATCTTATGCTGTCTCAAAACATTTCACAACCTGCTCAGCATTATGGCTACAAATTCTACTATTGAAGTGTTCAAATTTTTTGTGTGTTTCCCTTTCCCCTTAGAACTTGGCTGCACTGCATCACTGGAGCTGCTTCAAAATCTTTATGCAGGCAGAATAAATTATTTATAAGTGTTGATTGTTCATAGCTCAAAATAAACACTGCCTGCTACACAATGTTTTAATATGTTGTATTTGTGTACTGCTGTCTTCAATAGCAGGATGACCTCCAAAATTATAGCATGCAGAATTTTATGTATAATGAGCACCATTAAAGTATTTTTACCTTTTTCCTGCAATCTAAAAGATTACCAACTCTTCCACCCTTAGCATGAATAGTTCAATTGAAATCAATGGGATTACTCATACACAACGTTAGGCATATGTTTAAGTGTTTGCAGGATCAGGGCTTAACTGATTAATTATACAGAGGAAGCAGTGGGTACTGAGTGAATACAAAGTACTATCAATTGCACTAAGTAAACAGAAAAAAGAAAGAATTCTTCACATTATTTTCAGTTACCACAGTATAAAATATTACTTTAACAACAGTAGATACACAATTTCCAGACAGATATGTGATTTTTTTTAGTTGACAGTTTCCCTTTAGTTAGCTTGTAATTCACCAATGACCAGTTTCTTGTCTCATCTCTGTAATGGCTCTCTGTGAAAGCTTCTATTTGTCTGGAGTGGTCTCAGGATAGTGCATTAGCAGAGAAAGGCACCATGCCTCATTTGTGCCGGATATATAAGTGGAGCAACCATTCTAAACTCCTTTGGAGCTGGCTAAGGGCTTGTCTATACTTACCAGGGGATAGAAAAGCGGCGATCGATGCATCGGCGGTCGATTTAGCGGGTCTAGTGAAGACCTGCTAAAACTAAATCAACCGCAGATCGCTCTCCTGACTCCTGTACTCCACTGGATCGAGAAGAGTAGGGGGAATTGGAATGTCTCCCGTCAACATCACGTTGCATGGAGCCCCTGGTGAGTAGATCTAAGCAACGTCAATTTGAGTTACACTATTCACATAACTCAAATTGCGCAGCTTAGATCAAATTTCCCCTGTAGCGCAGACAAGGTCTGAGACAGGCAGGTTCTTCGCAAGTTTCTTTGCCTTGGTCTGCAAAACACCTGTTATAAGTCCCAAGTACAGCCTGGCAGTTATGCCAAGTGTGTAAGTCTTTTACTGTGTTTACACAATAGGAAACAAACAATTCCCCTGGTGTGTAAAGCATGCTTGCAAAAATCATCATCTATTGCATTAACAAAAACTGCACCATCCAGCCAAGTTATTATGAATTCGATGTTTTCTAGCAATAATCCAGTTTTGCTGTTACATAGCCCCACATCTCTCAATCAAGACAGCATTATTTTTCACTGTATTCTTTCTGCATCACACAGAGTTGAAGGAATCCTAGGCTGAGAAAACTGGGACTGAATAAAAGGGCAATTTCCTCTAGGATTTAAGTGCTGATAATGAGTTATAAATAACAGAAGAAGTATATAGGAACGTAAGGCATGAAATTATTCATTTGGAGAGCAAGTGAGTTTGTCTCATTTCCTTCCTACCATGTTGTATTGGATGCTCCTCCCACTCATAATCCAGAAAAAGAATGCCTTCTTCATCTGCTATGTGCATCATTCAAGTTATTAGAAATGTTGACTACCAAAGAATAGTAAACCCAAGCTAATTTCATTTCCAGATAACACCTACCTACACAGCTAACCAGGGCTAGTGGAATCATTTTATCTGTTAAACAAACAAAAAATGGGAACATTGGGGCTTTTTGAACCATAGCCCATAGTGACTGGAAGAGAACTGGCATGATGTTGTATAAATGCATAAAGAGAAAATATAAATAAAAGTAAATGAAGGCAGAGAAGAAAAATAAATGGATGATAGCAGGATACGGGAATTAATCCTAGCTTGTGCTAGTGCCACACAGGATATACACCTGAAATATGAACTTAGAAATAGGACAGATGCTTCACTATTGGACAAAGCAACAACCATAGAGCACAATATTTCACCAATTCTTGGAGTAAAAACAGGAAGGTTTTTTCCCCTCATGTAATTACCACCTGAATGAGGAAAAATGTAACATATTGTAATTAGTAACTAAGGCCCCAATTCAGGAAAACATGTCTATTCAGGAAAGCACTTAAACATATGCTTAAGTCTCATTAACTTCATCCCTTAATTTCTTGAATAAGGATGATTTAATAATGTGCATAAGTGATTTCCTGAATCAGGCCCTCGGGGTTCTAATTCTGCAAACGCTTACTACCAGGTGTAATGCGTACCATGTTAAAATGCAAGTTTGGACCTCAAATTGATATAATACTCTATAGCAGTGGTTCTCAAAGCCGGTCCGCCGCTTGTTCAGGGAAAGCCCCTGGCGGGCCGGGCCGGTTTGTTTACCTGCCGCATCCGCAGGTTCGGCCGATCGCAGCTCCCACTGGCTGCGGTTGGCCGCTCCAGGCCAATAGGGCCTCCGGGAAGCGGTTCGGGCCGAGGGATGTGCTGGCTGCCTTTTCTGCACCCCCCATTGGCCTGG